TGCCTACCACATCCCATACTCACACCCACACTCACCCGCACCCGCACCCACGCCACCCCTACCCACACCCCAACCCACATCCACACCCACACACCCACACCCGCCCACCCACACCCAGATTGACATTTTTATTGTTATCGAACGTTGTTAAAAAGAAACAACAATAAACATGTTCTAAATAGCTTTATCAAATAAACACGAAATTAAGTCTTGAAAAGACTCGAGTCGATAGGTCGAATTCTGACGTGGTTCAACAGTTTTTCTTCTGTACAACTACAGACAAACAAGATTTTCTGCAAATTAGAGTAGTTATATTTGTTTTTTCTTGCAGCTTTGTGCCCGCGATAATTATGTATATATGGGGTGTGGGGTTCCATGAAAGGTGCTCCCCGGATAGATGCTCCCGCGACAGTTGCTCCCCAGCGACATTTGCTCTCGAGGCCCAGATCAAGCTCAAATCAAAACCGAAGCTCACTCTCTGTCTTGCCCTCACCCACACCTACATCTCCATCAACATCTACGCCCTCACTCTCACTCAGACTTGCGCCTACACCCTCAACTATTCGGGGAGCAAGTGTCCGGGGAGCACCATTCGTGTTACCGGGGTGTGGATCTGGGTGTGAGTGTGGGGTGTGCGTTTGGATTTTCTTCGCGAATGCAATCACACTCACACCCATACTGGGTGTGTGGGTGTGGGTGTGATTATATTTGTGAAGAAAACTCACACACACCCACACCCTCATTCGGGTACAAGTTATTGATTCTTAGAGAAGTAGATCATACTTATTGGAAGTTATGCTACGCTGTGTATAGTGTGTATCGTAATATGATTTATTGTATCATTTGACAAAGTTCTTTCTGTTTTTCTATCCAAAATTGTCGATTATTTTCAACAGTACGTAACCAATTACGTAATTGTTTTTGTCCACTAAAGACTTTCATTAAAGTCAAAATTAATTCATTGATACCTTTCTGTAATTGTTGTTTACCAGTTATTTCATTTGTAAATTCTTGACTATTGACCATTGTACATAAGCCGACTTGTCCATAATACCAAATACCATTTTCTTCTCGAATATCTTCTTTTCGATCGACATATTTCTCTAAAATTTGTTTGAATTCATCAAGTATATAATTCCGATTCACATTTGAATACATGTTTGTTACAATTAGAACACAATAAATGTGACGATGATGAATACATTCTTGAAGTAATATATCAAGTTGTTTAAGTTTAACAAATGATCCCGGTGAAGCACAATAGAACATACACAATGGTGTTTCATGTAATGATGCTGCATTTAAATATGAATTTATATCTAAATTAGACCAATCTTGTATTCCAGGTGTATCCCAAAAGTGAATTTTATTCAATTTATAACAATTTATTGTTCGTGTACATTCATCAAGTCCAATCGTATGATTCACTTTGACTACGGAACAACCACAAAGAGCATTGATTAAAGTTGATTTGCCCACTTTTGGACCACCACAAATTAATAGATGAGTTTCATTATTATCGAGATTATTATTTATTGATGTCGTCAATGCAGAATTAGTTGCTGCTGACATACTGGATACTACTGGTTGATTGCTTGATGATGATTTACTAGTTTCACCTGAAACGAATATCAAACATTTTATTCTCTCGAATCCTTTTTTTTTCACAATGGATATAAATCTCGAAGCATTTTGAACAATGTTCACTTACTTGGAATTTCTTCTCGATTTTTGATCGGATTTTGTGGATTTATTTTTGATGAATTTTGTTCGAACGAAGGTATAAAATGTTTCATTTGAGCTTCAGAAATTCGTCGCATTAATACACTTGTTTTCATGCACATTTGCAAGAAAATAAATCGTCCGGGTTGATTTAGACGAGTTTCATCAACCGTTTGGTCTTTGTTTAACATCTCACTGTTGTCAATAGCCAAATAAAAATCATTCGGATTTATATTCGATTTTATCTGTAATAAACTTTTTTCACATAAATATGTAATAAGATCATGTACAGTAGTTTCTAACCGATACGG